AGAATCGATGAAGATAAGTGGATTACTAAGATATGACATGTCATTCCTTGTATGCTAAAATAGTTATCATATTGTTAAATGTACGCTCAAGAAATCTGTGACTACGGTTAGAGTATACCAATAGAACATAGTTGGTTTACTCTAGAGTTAAGACATTAAGAAATCGAAGAAAACTTATGAGATCATTATCAAACGGATCGTAAATCAAATTCGAGATCACACTTATGATGAATTGATACGAGGACTAAATTGTATGATAAGCATATTCGTAAAAGATAATTATAGATTAATTAATCTTCTTAGAGAATTGGATAATTATGACGTCTTGCTAGAGGTCAATCTTGATTTATGTATCAAGAGATAAAAGCGAGTGTCTTTTATTCTTGATAAATTGACAATATATCTAGGAGCCTATTGAGTCACACTCATAATTTAAACATTCATATAATCAAAGAAAAGCAAGAATTTTGGAAAAAGTTTCCTGTTTTTGGAAAAATTTTCCTAAAATGATAAGTTTCCTATTTTAGAAATTAGTTTTCTAATTTGAAAGTCATTTTTAAATTTGAAAGCCGATTACTCGCACAGAAATTAGTTTTCTAATTTAGGTTTAAGGGTTATTTGGGAAATTATTTTTTAATGTGGGCTTCATAAAAAATATCTAACCCAATTTATTTAGATGATTCAAATTAATTGGTTCAAAAAAGTTTAGGCCAATAGGCTTAATTTAAAAACTTGCAACATATTTTGATGAGAGGATAAACTTGAGCACTATTGAATAAGGCTTAGGGTTTATAAGGATAAGATCAAACAAGGCCATCAAACAAGCCCACACATGTTGTAACTCCTTATTCTAGGAGGACAAAGATGCCACCCCCTGAATAAATAAAGGGGAAAGAGGCGGCAAGGAAGGCTAAGAAAAACACAAAGAAACGACAAAAAGAAAAGAAAAGCATGAAAATGTTTCTCTTTCTAAAAAAGCATGAGTTGTCGTATCCCTCCCTAAAAGCCTAAGTTGCCGTAGAAAACTCGATTGATTTCTTTAGAAAGCAAATTAAATATATAGAAAGATTGGAGCTAGCACTCTGTGATTTTTATGGCTTTCTTTGTGGGTGTTTAAGCTTCGTTGATTATTAATATAAGCTAGAAACTTGGATGGTTTCCTTTTTGTTTGATTATTTTTTATGCAACAAGAAATAATCTTTCATCCATGTTTCTATTCATATTAATGTATGATTAGTTAATTCAACGATATGATATTAGGAACATTAGATGGAGAAAAATTTTATTTTATTTTACATCTCTATAGAATGCATGATCATTCATAGGGCTCGGACAAGTGAATTCTATTTCAAGACTTTGTGATAAGGTGGATTATTGGTGCTTTTCTTTAGGACATGTTTGCCTTAGAATCTATGGGTGGGTTTCTTGCCCCAAGGCATTGCTTCCTTTGGTATTGCCCATAAATATACAAAGCATGTGTTTCAATCTTAACTATCATTTTTGATAGGATTCCTTTGGATTATTTAGAGATTGTGGCTTATCAATCTAGTAGTTCATCTTTTGGTTAAAAAGAACTTTTACAAGCACATAACACAAGTTATCATTTGGTTCTCATAAAGAAAGGATACTTGAGACTCAAATAGTGTTTTAGGGTATTTTGACGTAGTATCATTTTGTTGTTTTGAATACTTTCTCTTTTTAAATGAACCATCCTATCCATGACCTTTTATGTTGGTCCAACCTAATCTTTCATGTTTGTTCTTCTTGCATTTTATTCTTTTTAATTTTGAGACCAATGCTTAGGATGTTAGCGTATGTTTCTTTCAATTTTTTAATTACATTTTGATTTTGATCATGATTTGATTTTGCCTTTGTTTTTGTTTTTGAAAAATGGGTTGTTTAAATGACCTATTATGTTGTCATTAATCAAGCTTTCTTAGTGATACTTCAACTTTTTTTGAAATTTGCCCTAGTATGAGGGGTGATCCTAGTCCGAATTTATTTGAATGAAATCAAAAGGCTCAAAATAGGACTTTAAGGGATAGATTTCCTTTTAAGAGATGTGAAAATTCAAGAACGACCTTTCCTCATCCCATTAGTAAACTCGTTTAGTTTGATAAGTTCGACCTCCTTTAATGAGTTTTGCTCGAACTAAAAGTGAGTGGAATAATGTCCGAATAGAACTTGTGATCTAGACACGTATTTAATAGATTATGCATACTATGGAGATGTGAAATAAACAAAAAATTTTCTCCATCTAAAGGGCCCGGGATCATGCCGTTTAATCAACTAACTATATATATACATGAATTAAAAAAATGAATAGAGAATTACCTCTTGTAGTGTAGATCTAAATTCTTTAGCGAGAAAAGCACTCCAAATGTCCGACATCTATTGATGATCCACGCAGTCCAAGCATCCACAAAGAAATAAGTGGAAATAATAATAGTTAGCGATGAATATAAGACATCGGAGATGAGTGATTTAGAATTATTTAGTGATGGAATATCAACAAAATAATGATAGAAAATCCGTTGCTAAATAGCCATAGAAAAAAATTTCATTGCTAAAAAATAGCGACTATTGCTTTAGCAATGAATTTTTGAGAAATAGTGATGGATTTTCTCAAAATTTTTGTAGTGAAATTAAATTTTTAAAATATTTAAGAACATTGGTACATTAGCCAAAAGTTATATTTGTCATGGACCAACATAGGAAAAAAGATGGATACAAAAAAGTAAGAAGATGGAATGGATATTAACCCATTTATGTAGTTGTTTGGTAATGATACGAGAAAAAAAGATAGAAGTTGTTATATCTAAATTAGCTAGATTTTAAGTTATAAGTAAATATTAGAAAACATATCTCACATTGATAAGAAATTCAAAAAATGAGTAATATATAAAGTTAAAAAAGATCACCTACTATATTTTTTAAAGTTTTGGGTTAAAATAACTTTTTAATATAATATTAAAGTTCTAAAAAGCTTAATGGTCCAATAATGATTCTAAAGCCCAAACTACTTGACGGACTCTTTAATTTAAGTTTTTAGATTGAAATAATTTTTCAATATGATATCGAGTTTCAAAAAGACATAACAATCTAGTAAATAATTTAGGATTCAAGTCACTTGAAAGACCTTAAAAATGAGTTGTAAATGAAAAAGAATGTTAGAGAACATAATATATAAAATTAAAAATAAATTATCCATCATAAGGCTTAAGTCTTTTAAATGAAATCAATCTCAACTATTTAATTTAATAAAGAGGAAGGAGGTGAGAATAACTCCCTTCCTTAATTATGTCTCTATGCGTCATGCTAAAAAAGAAAATTATCTCCAACATCTTCAATGACATCGCTCCTATCAAATACGACTAAACTATTAATTAATCCTTTTGTAAAGAAAATGATTAAAAAGCAAATGGTACATACTAAATTACATGTAAACCGAGGTGTTAATTTATAAATAATAAAGTGTGTATTCATGAATTTAAAATAGGGATAATTAATAGAAAAATCTTCTAAAAAAATCTTTTATATAAAAACTCACAAATTTATTTTTAAATCTTTCAAACCCAAAATAATATTTTTCTTACAAAAAACAACTAATAATTAACACTAATGTTAATTATTGGTTGTTTTAGTAAGAAAAATATTATTTAGGCTTGTGAGATTTAAAAATATTATTTTGTATTTGGGAGATTTAAAAATAAAACAACGATTTTTTTAGATTGAAGATTTTTTAGAAGTTATTTTGATAATTATCCCTAGTTTAAATGAAATCATTATCTTTCAAGATATGTATTTCTATCACGGATGATCATGTTATATTTAATTAATGCACTAAAATATATTATATATTCATCTTGTAATTTAATTTAATTATTTGATAAAAAATATTGAGTTTTAATTAATTAAAAACTAGTATTACCGATGATTCTTTTTTTTCCTAGCGATATATTAGGATTTAAAAAATCACTAATGTTCATAATCATACATATTTTATTTTTCTAATATGTATGATAACCCTTTGATTAAATTACAAGAGAATGACAAGGGTCTCATTTCATCAACATTAATTAGTTAAATTGCCTCGATTGCTATAGTTACTAGATACTAAAATTAATCTCGTAATTAATGAAACAAATGGTCGATAAAAAAAAACTCTAATATAAGAAATTTTTTAGTATAATTAAAAAAAGTAGTTGAATGTTAGTGTTTAAAAGTCAATGAACTTCAAAAAAATTTTTTTTCTTTCTAATACAATAAAAAAGAACTTGACTTGATTATGAAATAAATAAATAAAGATCAAACTCATTAAAAACTATGAAGTAAGTTTATTATTAGATAAAAACTATAAAAAAAGAAACTTCAAAAAAAATTTTATCTAAAAAATTGATCAATTTATTTTTTAAATTTATCAAACCTAAAAATAAAATAAAAAATTCTTACCAAAAGACTCAATAGTTAACTAGTGTTAAGTTAGAGGTTAACTATTGAGTGTTTTGGTAAGAAAAATATTATTTTGGGCTTGAGAGATTTAAGAATAAATTGATGGGTTTCTTGGATATAAGATTTTTTTATAGGTTTTTTGGTAATTATTCCTTTAGAATAATTGGCTTCTTGTGGAGAAAATAATTATGATATCTATTTATTTTATGTGTTTGTATGATACTTTTTTTTTCTTTAAAAAAAAAATTGTTTGTATAGACTACTAGTAAGGAAATGTACATAACTATCCACACCAGCATTTAATACATACAGAAAGAACCAGTTATTGATGCAATTTTTTGAATTTGCGAATCTGGTGGATTTATATTTTTATGGCAATACTATAAAGCCACTCTTTTTATAATCCTGCCAATGGGAACCGTACTACTAAGGGCCGGTTATCAAGACAGAGATGTCGATGCTCAATACACATAGATAGCTTTTTGGCTTTGTAATAGCGGGGCAACATGATGTTATACTAGCACTGATTTCTCCACGTCGAGCAAGCGATGGAGATAGATAGAAAAACAGGCAATATCGAAGCTTTGAGTATTGGAAAAGGTGAAATAAACGATGGTCAAAATCAAGACACCGGTGTAACTTCTGCTCATACTATTGGTCATGGTAAGTTTGATTGTAGTTCTAAACTTTCATTGCTTTTATTAATTATTGCATCCAAGATTCCTATTGTACTTTTAAGATCAAATAATTTGCATGAAAATTCACCTTGGGTCTTTATCTTTTTACTTTCTTTCTTAATTTCTCTTTTGATTATGATGATGGTGATCAGTTTGCACATGAACTTGCAGATTCATGGGAACAAATGGGGTTAATGCTGGTGACAAGCTTTAACTGCGGATACATATTGAGTTTTTCAAACCTTATGTTGGTGCCTTTAGGTTGGACTTGGGGCATCATATCCCTGGTTGTTGTTGGATTTTACACCGCCTATGCTAGCTGGCTTTTGGCAGGATTTCATTTCATTAATGGCAGAAGGTTCGTCAGATACAGAGATCTTATGGGGTATATTTATGGTGAGTTGATTGATTTCCTCGTATATATATCAACAATTTTTGTTTTTTCGTTTTTCTATGCTGTCTGCCAGCTTCAATTCCAAAAAAAGAAGAAGAAAAAAAAAATTATGCATGCCAAGTTTAATGCGCATTATGAGGTTAATGAGCTGGGGGTCCATATGCTATTTATAGTATTCAATGAATAGTTGATATAAGTTACTTCATAAAAAAGAATAGAAATCACCAAAACGAGAGAAAATAGGAGAGAAAAAGAAAAAAAAAGAGTTAAAGATAAAAATCTTCTTTATCACTTTTGATAGGTTCAGATATAATTTTTTTTATGTGTTTATCTTTTTTTTCTTCAAAAATAGGCTAATGGAATAACTATTGTACGTATATACTAGTTATTTATTGAGTATTATAAAATTTCTCATTATTATTCAATGTTATTTTAATAATATCTTTCATTTTTAAAATTTCTTAATTCAATTTTTTCACTATAAATCCGTTGACATTGCTATTCCCTCTATCATTAACAATATTTTTCAGTTGTTAATTCCCGTTGTATTCTTAAAACGTTTATATATATATAAAGCCATAAGAGATAATAAAGGGAAATAATTTAAAAAAATAAACAAAAAAGAAAATAAAAATAAGAAAACTAAATAAATAAAATCGAGAAAAAATAAGTCTTGTCGATTTTGCAGTCTTTCTTGATTTTATAATTATATTTTTATTGATTATAAAATTATAAACATAAAAATTATATATGAAATTGAGTGAAATGAAAAAAAAAAAGAAGCCTAATTAAATCCAACTAAAAAAAATATTTGTACTACAACCTCTTCATTATCACACATCTATCTCCATAATAAAAGAGAAAATTTGTTTTAAAAAAAATTAACCATGTAACAAAATTGGATTGTGTTACCAAATAAATAAGAATTTGGATTTATAGTTTGTGATTGTTTGTTTTCATAAGAAAAAATAATGGAAGAAAAAAATTAGATATTTTTTTATTGTTTCATTTTAGTTGAGCTTTTTTAATGCGAATTGATTATATTATTAATTTTATGTTTTTATCACTTAAGTTTTCTTTTTAATTTCTCAAACGAGTGATTATATATGAAGAGAAAGATTCAACGGTAGAACTTAATTTTTTTATTTTTAAAAATTATCTATCTATTTATTATTTCTTATTATTGTTTTTCAAATATTTATAAAAAATATATTCTATGACTATTTTAAAGTTAATGGTTAAATCATATCGTTAGTAACAAAATAACTAACAATATTAACGAATCTATAGTAAAAAAAAAAAAAAATGGATTAAAAAATTTCAAATATTAGAGATCTTATTCAAACAAAAATTGATTATACACAACCCTCGAGCTCACTAATCAGCACATGATAATATGCGCGCTGCACAACTTTTTGGTATACGGTTGAGGGAGTGAAACCTAAATGGGCTTTTTTTTTTTCCCTTTTTTTTTTTTAATTTTCATTTTCACAAAAACAGAGAGTTACAAGATAAATTGATTTTTATATATAGTATAACGGAACAAATTCATTATAAATTAAAAATAAACTAATAGCCCTTTTAGTTTTATACTTAATTGACAAATAACTTGGTCTCTCTGCTTTTTTTATAAGACAGTATTGCTTTTTTTTTTAAATTATTAAGTAATTAAAAATGCACCAAACCTCATAGATATTTTTTTTAAAAAATATTCTAGTATCTTCTTAGCATTTAAAAGAAAATTTTTTTTTTTTTTGAAAAAAATTAAAATATCTACAAATTTTGACATGTTATTAACCATTAAAAAACTACACTTGCATATTAGTATTTACGAAAACCTAAAAGAAGAATTCAATTTCAAATTAAAAATAATTGAAAGGAGGTCTAACTTAAAATTAAAATTTAAAGAACTGATTCTTAAATAATTTAAAGTTCATGAAAGTTTTAAACCTTTTCATAAATACAAGTTTTTCATTGATAAAAATTACTAAACCAATAAATAAAGACAAGTATATAGATGAAAGAATAACTTAGACATTAAAATGAAAGATGAAAAATATATTAGGTATTTTACTTTATACACTAAAAAAACATTATTAAATTATTTTCAAAAAAAAAATAATTAAGTGATTTCATTCAACTAAACGAACTAATTTAATTATCTGAAAAGAATAAATTGTTTGATTGCCGGAGACCATGTCGTGGGCCACCCTTAGGTTCCCTAGACTAGGTACCATCCTAACCATTGAGTGTGGCAAATCTGATCTCAGCCCTAAGCTGGTCAGGGTCCGGACCTAGCCTGCCCCCCAGGCTTTACCAAATCCGTTCACAAAAGCTGACCATCAAACGATCACATTACACCCGACCCCATCCCAACTCTTTGAGACCCTTACCCTATAACAGACTCGACCTCTAAATAGGAATGGCAACATCCTTGCCACCGTCTCCGTCTCTGAAAAACTCTGCCTCATCCCCGTTCTGTTTCCATGTGGGGGCGGGGATGAGAATCCCACGGGACATTGGAGATCTCCGTAGGGCAACGGGGATCCTTTTAATTTTTTACACCTGCTCTGCTTCATTATATCCCATATAATTTTATACGAATTTTAAATTTTAAATTATAATAAAAAATAATAATTCGCATAAAAAATATAATTAAAAAAAATAATTTAATATTATATTTAATAATAAATTTACATAATCACTCATGATATATTAAATTATTTTTAATCAAAAAAATATATTTAATTAAATTGATGAAGTATTACAAATATAATTAAAAAATATAAATTTTTATTATTTAAAAATTATTTATTATATTAAAAACTAGTTTGTAGTTTAAAGTTCATATATAAACCGGATATAATTATAATTTTCAAAGAAAAAAAAGTAAAATAGGGCATGACAAGGTGGGGACGGGAAGAGGCAGGCAGACAAATAATATTCTCGTCTAATCCCTAAAGAGGGGTGGGGCACCCTGCTTTATTCTCAAAATCAATTGGATTCTCAAATCAATTGGAAAAATCCTTACGTTGATCGAGAAATAGAGAAATGGGATCCGTTAGAAATGGCAAATTACCATCCCTACCTCTAGGCGACCCAAACCCGATCTTAGTTAGACCGCAAGGCACCTCGTACCAAGTTCTATTCCGACCACTTGGCGCTTAGTCCCAGTCCGGGCCGACTTCTGGACGCCCCATACATCCAGACCCTCGGACTTGAATCATAAGGCGAGGAACGAATTTTCAAATTTTAATTTTCCAAAATTTCCATGCAAAACAGGTTTCAATTCTTTTTATTTCCTAAACTTTGCGAACAAAAATAAAAAATGATACCAAACAATTGTTCATTTGTTTCTTTCTGTGGTTTTTTTTTTTTTTTTTTTTCCTTTCATTTTCTGAAAGAAATTGTTTTTGTTTTCTTAAGGGAGAGAAATGTACTACGCGACATTGATTTTCCAATTTCTGACTCTTTTTCTTCTGAACACTGGATTCATTCTCCTTGGCGGAAGAGCACTTAAGGTAAAGATAATAAATTTCACACTAGCAATGCAAAGGCATTTAATACAGCATGCTTGATCGATGCAGTACAATTTTCCATAGCGTTTAATATTGATTATCATATTTTTCCTATAAACGTCCATGTATTAATTTTCTGGAATTGCTAACAGGATATCAATTTAGAGTTGGGTCAGTCTTCATTGAGGCTTCAATATTTTATTATCATTGCTGGAGTGGCCTGTTTCATTTTCGCATTTTTCATTCCAACAATGTCAGCTATGAGGATTTGGTTAGGAGCCTCTACCATCGTCACTTCCCTTTACATAGCTATTCTTACTTTCACAGCGGTCAAAGATGGTAATTCCATACCTCATTTATTTCATGGTATACATTTGGAACTTTAAGCATAGCTACATTCATATTTACTGTCAAAATACATGCACGTGCATAGTGTAAGCCATTAAAGCCTTGAACCTCCATAATCATGCCGGAGTTGCTTTCTTTGAAGCGAAATCTAACACAAAGAGAAACTATGGGATTAGTGGAAGCAAAGTGGACAAGGTCTTTAATGGTCTTGGTGCAATTTCGGCCATTATCGTTTGCAACACATGTGGCATGATACCCGAACTACAGGTTAATTAGCAATCCATTGTCCATAGATATATCTATATGCTCTAACCAAATATTTAAGAGGAAGCTAGTTTTCACAAATCGAAGAGCTGTACTTGACATTAACTTTATGTATCTTCTTGCATACTCAGTCAACTCTTCGCCGGCCAGCGGTCCAGAACATGAGGAAAGCTTTGTACGTACAGTTCACAGTGGGGCTCATGTTTTACTATGGTGTGAGCATAGTAGGATACTGGGCCTATGGTTCCTCAGTATCATCGTACCTCCCAAATGAGCTAAGTTGTCCCAAATGGGTGAAGATCCTAATTAACACCTTGGTGCTTCTTCAATCTGTAATCTCCCAAAATGTAAGACCTTGATTTGATAATGATAATATTTTCTACAAAATAGTAGGAAATCTTAGCTTGCTAGCCACCATTGGACTTCATCATATGTCTCCTGCCTGATATTGCACAAAATGAATGTACTGATGATTTTCTCATAACTGATGGTGTAGATGTTTGCAGCACCTATTCACGAGGCTCTTGATACTAAGTTCCTTAAACTTGACGAAAGCATGTATTCGGGAGCCAACATCAAACGCCGTGCCCTTCTTCGCGCAATCTTCTTTGCAGTAAACACATTCATTTCAGCAGCCTTTCCTTTCATAGGAGACTTTGTGAACTTGTTCGGATCGCTTGCACTAGTTCCTCTGACCTTTGTATTTCCAAGTATGATTTTCGTCAAGGTATAGTAACATCAAACTACAATTTTAATTATCAAGACAGATCAAAGAAAATAGAAGCAAATTTAAATTTTAAGCATGCTAAAGTGTCCCTAATTTTCGCAGCTTAATGGAAAGACGGCAACAATTGAGAACTTATGGCATTGGTTCAACATCATTCTGTTTTCTCTACTTGGGGTAGCGACCACAGCTTCTGCAATCCGTTTGATTGCCCATGATATCCAGCAATACAGTTTCTTTGCAGATACATAAGACGTTGCAAACATGCATCAACCTATTTGTCTGCATGACATTCTTTACATGCTACCATTAGTTGCAAATAACTTGTTGATTTTGAAGAAAATAACAGCTACCAGCGTACAATTGTCTCTCGATTGAAAGAGTCATTAAAAAAAAAAAAAACACTCGTTTTTGAAAACCCTCGCTTCTTATCTTCGTTTTAAACATGTTTTTTCCCATTGAGTCAACGAACAATTGGTACAAAGTTGCATTGTTCACCTGATCCTGTGATGTTATATATCCGATGATAAATCGAGTGAAATTGCGATCAGTAAATATAGTATCTACTTTCCCAAAAGAAAGAAACAAAGGGATAGACCGAAAAACTACAGTGCATTCAAGCACAACATGCATAATTAATTATTACACATTATACAAATTCTCAAGAAATAATTATAAAAAGTACACACTATGCACAAGCAATTTGATTCATGTTATAAAGAAGATTTTTCATGCAATTTTTCCTAGAGGATCTCTTGGAGGCAAGCCATGAAGGCCAGGAAACCTCTCTCACCACGTTCGAAAGGTTCGGGGTTGACCTGCATAACTAGAAAATTTCCACCAAAAAGATCGTTCATATGAGCCTGGCCATTCTTCAGCCTATTCCATGCCTTAAGCCAAGAAACTTTAACCCTAGACAAAAGCCTAGCTTTTTTCCTCAAGAACCTTCTCAAGCCCGGAATTCGAATCTTCGACCGCTTTCTAATGGTGAACTTTTTAAGCCTAGAAAAGTTCCTTATTCTCCTAAGCGCTCTCTCTTCCTCCGCATCCTCATCGAACCAACCTTCATTTCTAAGTCTACAATAAGAGTGTTTTCTCACCGGTGACATGTCAAAGAGAGATGTAATGTGATTGATGATACTTGATCAAGAGAGCCCAGAAGAGTTTTTGAAGGAAATTAAAGATTGGTGTTTTACTTTTCACTATCTACAAGGAAACATGGCTGCTAGCTAGCCTTGTCATTTCATTGATTAGCTTTTATAGTGAAAGTGAGAAGACACAGAAATTAGTTGAGCGAATTTAAGGCACCAAGAAAGCTGAAATTTATTGGTGAGCCAGTTGGGACAAGCCATTAATTTGACAAGAGTATAAGTTAATGTGGAATAGCTAACAGCCATAAAACATTTGCATATGAAATAACTTTCGTCAAGTTTATATTGATTTGATCCGAGTAAGAATGATTGCATCAGACTTTAATTGATCTGATTAACTCCTTTCAAGCAATTAATTAAGTTAATTAGAAGTACAATAGGGTGAATGTGTTGGAGTTAATCCCAGCTCCTTCAGATCTAACATTTTTCAACAAGTTTTCAAATCAACTCAGCCTTGGATAAAATTTTTTTATTTACTTATTGGGATTTGACTCTCCTCAAGTTAATGCTATATGATATATTATATTAGTTTAATCCTAGCCAGATAAATTGAATAAACGGTTAAGATTTTCTCTTAATTAAATTATTGACTTCTTTTTAAATTTGCAATTTAACCAAATTTCTATCTTTTCATATACTATCCAAATTAATGCATATTTTATAAAGGTAAAAAGATTCCAACTCTCTCATTGCATTATTTAAAATAGAAAAAAAAAAAACCACTCTCTCCCTCAATTATTCTAATATTTAAAATTTTCCCATTTTTTCAATAAAATCATTAAAATTATGATCAATTTATAGAAAAATAAAAGTCAAGCAATAGACAAAAGTGAAATTAAATAGAATACAACTACGAAGCTTAATTAATTGTAAACTGTACACTATACCAAAAATGAAGATTTGCGAAGGGAATTTAGCAATGGTCTAAAAACCATCTCTAAATAATGAAATTTGCGATGGCTTGAAGAAATTTTACTAGGGACAAAAAAAAAAAAAAAATTTTAGCGATCGTTTTTTGCGACGGACTATGCTAACCATCGCTAGTAATTAAATGTAATCAAATTTGTGATCGTTTTTTTGCCGGAACCGTCACAAAAATTCAAATTTAGCGATGGACTTCCATCGGGAAAATCCTCTCGTTGGGGGGAAAATGACTATTTTTTAGCCATTTGCAACGGATTTAAGTCTATCACTAAAAAGAAACCCCTTCTTAACCCACTTGCTCGCATTTCTTCTTCCATTTTTCTCTTCTTCCTCTCTTCTTCTCCTCGCACTTTCTAGCCGATTTGCCCCTTTTTTCCTTCATTTTGCTCCCAATCTACTCCTCTCTCTCATCCTTCTCTTTCTCCCCTTTTTTTCCTTCATTTTTTCTCTCTTTCTTCCCCCTTCTTCAACCTTCGGGATTCTAGCCAACCCACCTCCGACGAAGCTCCTCCACCAACGCAGACCTCCTATCCTCCTTGTGTGGGTGAAAAGTCCTCCCTCATCTAACCCCTCAATTAATTTTTTAATTTTTTGCATTTTTTTCATAATTAGATGTTAAATTATTTTTGTTAATTTAATTGTTAATGTTAAATTAATTTAATTGTGTTATTGGTTAGTGTTAATTATTAATTGGTTAATGTTAATTGTGTTATTAGTTAATTGTTATTATTAATTTAGCATTAATTTTTTAATTGTTATTGTTAATTTAGTTAATTTAGTGTTAATTGTTAATTATGTTATTGTTAATTTAGTTAATTCATTTGAAATTGTCAATTTAGTTAGTTTAAGTGTTAAATAAATGTAATTGTTATGAATTTGTGTTAATTATGTTACTTTAATTGTTTAATTGTTAAATAAAAATTTGATTGTTGTTGTTATTAGTTTTATTGTTAATATGTATGCTCAATTGATAAATTTTAATTATTAATTAAGTAAGTTTATTGTTAAATATTGTTAATTATTAATTTAGTTAGTTTAATTTATGGTTTTTTGTAATATTAATTAATTTTAAAAATTGATAATCATTTTATAAAAAACTTTAGCAATTAAAAAATTATTATTTTTCTAAATAATATTTGGTAATTGAAAAATTAATTAGTAATTAAGTTTGTTTAATTAGTTTTTGAGTAAGTGAAGAAGTAAAGTAATTACAAAATTAAGTAGTTATTACAAATTTTAATTATTTGTAAATTATATTTAGTTATATAAAATATAATTAATGATTAAGTTTATTTATTTGTTGATTAGATTAAAAAAAGGAATTAAATTGTTACATAATTAATTAGTGATTAAAAAAATAAATATTTTTGAAAATCTAATTTGGTTCTTAAAAAATTAATTAGTAGTTAAGTTTAATTGGTTAATTTAGTTAATAATTAAGTAGATCACTTGGTAATTAATTTAGTTAATAAGTCAATAATATATTCAATAAATTAGTTGTTCATTAAGTGAAGCATTTAAGTAATTACAAACTTAAGTAGTTATAACAAATTTTAATTATTTGTAAAATATATTTAGTTATAAAATTTAATTAGTTATTAATTTTATTTATTTGTTGATTAGATTAAAAAAAGGAATTAAATTGGTACATAATTAATTAGTGATTAAAAAATAAATATTTTTTGAAAACTAATTTATTTTTAAAAAATTAATTAGTAATTAAGTTTATTTAGTTAATTCAGTTAATGATTAAGTAAATCACTTCGTAATTAATTTAGTTAATAAGTTAGTAATATATTTCAATAAATTAGTTCTTCATTAAGTGAAGCACTTAAGTAATTACAAACTTAAGTAGTTATAAATTTTTTTAATTATTTGTAAAATATATTTAGTTATAAAAAATTTAATTAGTTATTAAGTTTATTTATTTGTTGATCATATTAAAAAAAGGAATTAACTTGTTACAAAATTAATTACTGATTAAAAAATTAAATAGTTAATTTTTGAAATCTAATTTATTTTTTAAAAAATTAATTAGTAATTAAGTTTATTTAGTTAATTTAGTTAATAATTAAGTAAATCACTTGATAATTAATTTAGTTAATAAGTCAATAATATATTTCAATAAATTAGTTGTTCATTAAGTGAAGCACTTAAGTTTACAAGCTTAAGTAGTTATAACAAATTTTAATTATTTGTAAAATATATTTAGTTATAAAAAATTTAATTAGTTATTAAGTTTATTTATTTGTTGATTATATGAAAAAAGGGAATTAACTTGTTACAAAATTAATTACTGATTAAAAAATTAAATAGTTTATTTAGTTAATAATTAAGTAAATCACTTGGTAATTTATTTAGCCAATAAGTCAATAATATATTTCAATAAATTCGTGTCGATTAGTAATTGATTGATTGATTAATAGTAAGTTAATTTAGTAATTAAGTTATTACAAATATTTATATATTTATTAATTACATAATTAATTATTAATTACAAAATTAATTTAGTTTAAAATGAATTCGAACGTTCATGGATTGACTTTACATTAACTAATGGACTATTAAATGAGCATTTCGTTTATGGGATTAATGAATTTATTAATTTTTTCATTAGTCATCTAGAGTGTATGGATGGAAATAAGATACGATGTACTTATAAACTTAAAAAATGTCAAAATTGTAGTTATCTCAAACCTAATACCGTGGCATGCGCAGCATGTAGTTGAGCTAAACATCATGCATCCTTGTTCAAACTCCTATGCATGGTGGTATTTTGACCAAACACATTCTTCATTTGCATCGAAATTAGAAATGTCGGATTAGGTGTTTGCATTGATGGGTTTCGACTTTTTGGTCAAACTCGGATAACAATATTCTTCGTGGCTCGTAATTGTAACGCCTTATAATTTGCCACCGTGGAAATGTATGAAAGAAGAATATATGTTTTTAACCGTAATTGTCCCAAGTCCTAAAAATCCTACGGTTAATCTACATGTATACTTACAACTCCTAATTAAAAAGTTGGTTGAATTGTGAAAAGTAGGTGCTCTTACCGATGATATGTCCCGTAAGGAGAATTTTTCATATGAGAGTTGTAGTCATGTGGACAATTAGCAATTTTCTTGCATACTCAATGTTATCGGGTTAAAGTACTAGGGATAAGACAGGCATGTCCATATTGTATGAAAAATTATGATGCTTTCGAGCTCTATAACGGCGAGAAAGACATCATGGTTTGACAAAGCCATCCTTTTAGGCGGAATAGGAATGCATTCAAGTAAAATTTTATTGTTATAGACATTGCTCCTCCGATTAAGTCCGGAACAAATGTTTTACAAGAATTACACCATTGAAATCGTTGAAAGTAATGAAAGAAGGCTCGAAAGAATGGAACAAAAATATATCCGGATATTGTGTTTGGAATAAACATAGTATATTCCGGGATCTACCTTATTGGAGTTCTAATTTAATTCGTCACAATCTAGATGTGATGCACATTGAAAAAAATATCTTCGATAATATTTTTAATACAATTATGAGTGTGTCGGGAAAAACAAAAGACAATATAAATTCTAGAGAAGAATTGAAAGCTATATTGTTGATGGTTTGAATTAGAGATAGATAAAAAGTGTAGAAAATACCCAAAAGCTTGTTATACTTTAGACAAACAATAAAAAATACAATTGCTTGAATGGATTAAACAACTTAAATTTCCCGACGGATATGTTTCGAACTTGGCAAGATGTGTTGATATGAATAACCTCGGATTACATGACATGAAAAGTCATGGATGTCATGTATTTATACGAGAGGTTAATACTTGTTGCATTTCGAGATATGTTACCAACAAATATATGCCAACCACTAACTAAGTTGAGCTTATTCTTTAAGGAATTAATATCTACCGTAATTAAGGTGAAGATATAACCCTTCTTGAGAAAAATATACCTATAATCCTGTGCAAATTAGAGCGTTTATTCTCACCTAGTTTTTTTGACTCCACGGAGCATCTTCCCGTACACTTGGCCTAT